GGAAGTTACACATAAACTGGTTTAAATAATCAAAAACTGGTTTACACCTGTAACAGAACAGAAGTTCAGTGCACATAAACCAGTTTCAAGATGGCTGAAACTGGTTTAAGATAAAGCTGATTGAATGTAATATCAGACTTAACTGATTTGGGTCAAACTGGTTTATGCAACTTCTGTTCCAGACCCCTTCCTGGTTCAAGTTAAACCAGAGTCCCCCAGCTTCCCAGCATGCTTTCCAGTCCTGGGCTGGGCTTTCTGCTGCAGCAGAGAAGGGTTGGGCCAGGAGGCAGCAGGGACTGCATGCCTCAGCAAACCCAGCTGGGGTCTGGGGCCAGGGAAGGGGGATTAAAGTTCCCTTTCCCTGAGTGCAGAGCTGCCCTGCCCTGCACAAAACTGAGCAGGGCTGGGCTGTGCTGTTTGCTTCAGAGAGCAGGGCTGGAGCTGTTCCTCTGTTTCATAGCCGGCTGGCTGGCTGGCTCACTACCCCTCCCCTCCAGGCAACAGTGATCTGGGGTAAGGGGGGGAGTTAAACTCCCCTTCCCCTGAGTACAGAGCTGGCCTGCCTTGCTAAACTTACTTCTGGCTGTGACTGTGGACTACAATCCCAAAGGCACCTGCAAGCAGGAAGAGGAAGTGATGAGCAACCCTGCAGAATTCTGTTGCTGTGAATCTGGACTGCAAATCCCAGAGACCTCAGGGGCAGCAGAAAGAGGAAGCAAACACACAGCCCATGCTGGCTGCATGCCAGAGAGCTGCGCTGTAGTGCCCCCCAACTTCTGGTCTGAGCCAGTGCAGGTATGTGGCTGCATTTCCTGAATCAAAAGTGAATGTCTGTCCAGTTGTTTCTCAGTTTAATTTCTACAGCTTAGACTAACTTGCAAAGACTAAATCAATTCAGCCTCAGGCTTTTTGACTGTCCGTACTTAGCCTTGAAGTCATTTTTTTCCTGAAAGTAACAAATCACTTGTGATAATATAGAATCAAATGAGATTAGCCGCAGTCTTGCTAAAACTTGTTAGCAGAGGGGTAAATGTCACCTTGAATAAAAATTTAAAGCAGGGGGCCCCAAAGTTTCACCCCTGAAGAGCTATCTCAGAGGGATTGTCATAGGTGGTGATGTTACAGGGATCTTCTAGCCCCTGTTACTTTAAGGGAGAGGAAATGCAGGAAGAAACTCTGCAGGCAAATGCAGGCAGCTGGAGCAAAGCTAGTTGCCAGAAAGGAAGCAACAGAGGCAGCCAGAAGACAGGACCTACAAATGACTACTCAGGAACTAGCTGCAGGGCAATGGGACAATTGGGCAGAGTTCCAGGTAGCTAGAAGGGAATGAGGGAAGTTCAGCTTGGAAAACAGCAGGCTGCTCATTAACCTGACACCAGTCAGGGGAACACCTAACTAGAAGAGGTAAACCTTAAAGGATACAAACCTGGATTTGTGAGGCAGAGGGGTCTGCATGGCCCTGAACTCTGCAAGGAGATGGGCTCCTGCCAGCTCAGGCTGCCAGGAACCAAGCTGTGGGCCAGGAAAGGTATTTATGGGGCTGGCAGGGAGCCAGTGAGTGGGGATGAGGCTCTTGCAACAGTACAGTGACCCAGAGTGGGTTTTGAACATTTATGCTGCTTGTAGACATAAAAAACAAAGCAACCCTTCCCACCATGCCTTACTACAAGCAGCAGTGAATTACTTCGGCCCAGCTCTGTAGTGCCTGTATAGATTAGGCACTTCAGCAGGGCTTTTGGTGCTTTTATCTAAAGATGGATGATTTAATCAGCTATTAGATAAAAGTGCCGAAAAAGCCCCACTAAAACTCCCAATCTATACAGATGTCGGGCAAGCTAACACCTCTTCTGGGCCTGCGCTGGGCTCAGCGTGCAGAATTTAAAGTAAAGTGTCATTTGTTTTTTTCTAATGTCTGCAAGCAGCCTTAGTGTCTGTTTCTTCCTGGAGGTTTTGAAGTCGTTACAGGGCAGATGGAGGCCATGGGTGTGGTGCCTGGGAAGCACTCAGTGTTATAAAGAACTGAGGCCAGGGTAGAGTCCTACAAGGGGCTGGGACCCAGAGGAATGTGTGGGGCTAAAGCTAAATAGTTTGGAGGCTAAAGATAGGAGTCAGGGATTCAGTGGACTAAACCTAGTGTAGAGCCAGAGTCTCAGTGAAGGAAATAAGAGCAAGATCTGCAAGGCATGAGCTTGGGTATGGGGGCAGCTGGAGACCATAATTAATGTCCTTAAGACACATTAGGGCTTGACCACATGGACAGGATGAGTAGGGTCCAGCCAGTTAGTGAGATATACCTGCCAATAAGGCACAGTGATTTAGTGGATTTTGGGTCTGTTGCTGCAAAGAGGACTGGGTGAAGCAGGTGAAGCTAGGCCAAGCGTGAATCCAGTGAGCACACACAGGAACTCTGGGGGGCAACCTCCCAGTATAAAATACAGTGTCCATCACAGCATGGAAGGTGAGACAGAGAGAAGGTTACCCGGAGGGCTTGGATTGAGGCAGGATTGGTTTTATGGCCAGAGGACACCACAGCTGTCCTCAGGGCCAGTCTTGTTACACATGGGTGCATTGAAAGGGCCCACAGGCTGCACTTGCCATATGGAACAAATTTTGGAAACCCTCGGTTTAAGGGTTTGATTCAGTATAAGAAATGCGTAAAAACTGAGCTAATCAGTGTTCCCTGAATTTCAAAAGAATAAAAATAACAGCATTTAAGTAGTTGAGGCAAAACTATATTTTAAGAAGTTCTCATCCTCATATTCAGCCTCACCAAAGCAGTTCTCCTCAGATGAATCTCAAAATCTGAGACTTCTTTAGCCCACTGAAAAAGTATGTGCACCAGCTCACTAAAGGAATAGCAACTTCTTATTGCTAGGAGCAAATAGCGAATAGTGGCTGAGGCTTATGGTTTTTGGAGCTATGTTTGATAACCCATGCAGGGAGGTCTGCAAAACTTAAAATGTGCTACAGTAATGGATATATGATTTCATGGGATTCTCCTGCTATATGTGACCTGGTTTTGAGTGACTGTGTACTTTTCATTCAGCAACAAAAATGGGAATAAACTTGGGTCTCTCACAATACAAAGGATGAGAGTCATATCAGAACAGTCACAGCTCAAGGCTGAGAAACATTTTTGTGGCTTTCAGACAGTTGCATTAACTCCCAAGGATCTCATGCCTCTTGCTTCACCTCCCTCCTCCCAGAAAAAGCTAATGGAGAAAAACAAAATGCAGAAGACAAAAAAGTGCTACTAAAGGTTTTGTTTCTCAGAAGTCTGATCCCCCCTCCCTCCTCCCCTGATATTAAATAATATATATTTTTCAGTGCTCACAGTCAAACTTGGTCTTTGTAAGAAGGAGCTCCATATTCCAAGCACAACATTTATCCTTAATACCCAGACTAAAGATTTGTTTAGTTCACTGCATGGGAAGGAAATTTAATAAGCCTCATGCTGAAGAGAAAGAGTATGGGGTTATGTCTAGAAACCAGGAGAGGGAGTAGAGAGGATGTAGAGTTATATAAAGAAAGAGGAGGAGGCCTCAAAGGGAGGAGTGGGTGGAGAATTGTGTCAGGCAGGAAAAGGTGTGAAGTCATGTTGAGAGAATGGGGGACCACAGAGAGTGAGTAGGTGCACTGAAATACATGAGAGAGTCTCAAGTAGGGTAGGATGTAAGGAGATATGGAAGGAAGGAGGAGAGAGTAGGGACTGCCCAGAAGAATTTGGAATGTGGTGCTACAAGCTGTCAGAGAGAATGAACCTCTACAACCAGTGGTGCTCCTTCTTAACGAAGGATACATCTAAAAGAACCTTAAATAGAAAACAGGAACAATTCATGTCATATACTTCATACATTTTGCAACATTCCTAATAACACAGTCCAGAAAAACAAACCAGAACCATGGTGTGTCTTGGGAATGCTGGTACAAATGCACCTTTCTTCATTAACAGAAAATGCAAAAAGCCAAGTTCATCTTATGCTTCTAGTAAGGACATAATATATAAGGCACAGTGGCTATAATGCAGAGATCAAATAAGCCAGTGGTAATTCATGAGACTTCCTGTCTGTCTTTGGACATTCAGTAGGATTTTATTTCTTAAGAAATGAAAATAATCTGCTGTGCCGCATTCACATGTGTTACAATTATTACCACAGATTTCACCACAGTTAGAAAATACTGCGGCAGTCCTGTGCTTGTGAATTGAGATGAATTAGCTGTGCTGGGAGGTGTTTCCCAGCCCCTGACGTACTAAAACAAAGCAGTTAATTAAATTCTGTTGCATCAAGCAAGTTCAGCAAACAGTATCTATTCTTCACTTTAATCCTTAATCTAAGTATAGTGAATCCAGTTAGTTCCTAGTGTAAGATCAATGAAGTCAATGGATTTAAATCAACAATGATTTTGACACTTTGCCTCTCAAAACTTGAGGCACAATATTTAAACACCTGAAATTAAAAAAGATTCAGATCAATTTCTCCCTGGGTCCAGTTTCTGAATTTTAATTATTTTAATAAGTCATGATAACGACAGACTTATCCTGCATACAGGATGTCCTTCCTAGACATACAGTAGTTCATGATTATGATTTACATTGAGTAGTTCTGGCAGTAGGATAGATTATGTTCCAAATTCTATTTTGGAAGCATATGTATAACACTCCTCTTAATACAGAGAGATTTGTGTGCATTTTTCCAAGTGCAGAGTTTATTTCTAACTTAATCATCTGTAGAGAGATATCTGGATGAGATTCCCAAAGCAGTGTTAAGGGTCTGAGCAAAATTAAGATGCATCTAAATCCTTTACATTGCTTTGAAAATCATATCATCCAGGTCAAGGTATGAAAGTGGTAGATATGTGAAGGGTGTTTTGAGGTTTGGAGGGGGAATAAAAGATGGTTCATGATAAAAAGGTTAAAATTGATGCCCAGGTATTAATGATTGTCTAATTGCAGAAACACGCCTTATATAAGATCTGAATATTTCAACTAAATTTTTTTAAAAATGGGTGCCAATTTCAGGATACTTAAACTACATTTACTCTAAGTCTTACTATATTGAGTGAAATTCATTCCCAGGGTAAACCTACTGAAGCCAAAATAATCCTAGGATGAATGTGCCCTTTCATTTTCAAAAGCCATACAACCAGCAAGGAGTTAGGAGCAGAACACTGAACATAATTTTTTTTAGATACTGATTTTTCTCTTGTCCTTTTGATGTTTCCTGTTCATTACCATTAGGAAGAGTAGATTCCTGGGCAAGATCTGAATATTACACTAACTTGTAATAAAAATATATACCCACTTCAGAAAGAGTCTCATCCATTATAACACTGGGGAAGCTTATATAAAGCTTATACACAGCTTTGTGGATGGCAACTGCCATTGCTTTTAAAAAGCAGAGTCCATCAGGATTCCAAATAGTGCGTGTGAACTGACATGGAAGAGAGGAGAAATTTATTTACCTCTGTTGGAAATCAATTGTTCTATAATTCCTGCTCTCAAGAGAATATTTTTTATCGTTAGCTCAAAGATATTACTCTAGGCAAAGTTTACACCTTTGGAATACATCAGATTGCACTAAGGGCGCAGACTGAAGTGCAGCTCCCCACTGTAACTCATGGCACTTTATAGGAAGCACCCTGACTTACAGTGATCCCCCAGACCCAACAGACATTTGCTGTTGGGCCCCTGGGGTTGGGAGACTGAGCTGCAGTTGGAGCCGCTGCAAGTCTGCAGCTGCTGTCCCCTAACCCCACCCCTCCAAACCCTGTTGCTGTCTTCAAGGGGGGAAGGGAGTGGAGAGAGCTCAGTTTGGGGGTTACCCAGCTGGCGCTGGAGGGTAGGGCAGGTGGATTGGAGTGGGGGGCCTCCCTTCCCCTCCTCCCATGCTGAAGACAGTGTGAGGAGCAGGCCCTACTCCCAGCACACACTGACACACGTTAATGACACTCTGCTTTGTACTGCCTTTATCTGAACGCTCAAATAATGAAAGTTCAAATTGTTATGGGATTGGGCCTTTTTAAAGCACCATGCGCTCCTGTAAGGGCATGACTGTAGAGCACTTCGAGTGGCTCATCGTGTGACAAAATGTCACTTGTGTCAGCACCTTGTTATATACAGTATTCTTTTTCTAGGGGTAGATATTCCTGGTGCTCTTTAGCCCCCACCACACATTACATTACTTGATCACTGGTTCCAATGTACCGTATTCAGTTCCTAAAAGGCAGCATTCTTTTGCTTGTTACCAACGACAAAAATTGCACTAACAACATCCAAGGAAAATGCCAAATTTTCAGGAAGTCAAACTGTTGCAAATTTACATGTGAGAAGCTTAACGGCATTTGGTAAAGTGACATTTTTATTGCTTTGAGGCATACATGTAGTGCAATGGGTTTTATTATTTAAAGATAGAAACGTGCAGAAAAAAATATTTGAAAAGACTAAAGTGACACTACTTCCAATAGAAAATATTTGAATTTCGTGGTTTTTTTTAAAAATAAGGTATTAAAAATACAGCATGCAATCTAATGACCCTTCACATGTCAGCCCGGACAAAAGAAGCAAAGATGCCATTTTCCTGGGAGAGTAAGTTCTCTGGAGTATCGTATTCCAAAATGTTCCCTCGTTTCATCACAATGACCAGGTCTGCAGTCAAAATAGTGTGAACCCGATGCTGTTGTAAAACAAAAAGCCATACAGAAATTCAAATTACATTAACAGTATTCATTTCAGGCCTGGTCTAAAGCCCACTGAAATCAATTGGAGGATATAATTTGTCATCAGTGGTTTTGGAATTGGGTCCTTATAGCAAGAAATCTTAAATAATCTGCAAGAAATAGATTCAAGTCTTGAAAATGGTTATGGAAGTATTTGAAAAGCACCTTTTGAGCTTAAAGGCTGTCCAAGTGCATAAAAGTCAAGCACAGGATGAATGTTAACAGGATTGAGATCTATAGGTCCATGGGCCTGGGCGTTAAGTAGCTCCTGAGACCCTGTGTGCCCTTCATCCATACTAAATCACGAGTTTGATGGAAATGGGCACCTGGAATTATGTTCCTGGGCTTGCTGGAAAAATAAACCCAGCCATGCATAGATAAAGCACCACCAGTAAACACCTTCTTCTGAAAGCTTTGATCAAGGATGTGGCAGGCCGGTAGGGGGTGCTCCTGCACTGAGCCACCCGCCTCACTGTGCCTGACCACCTTCTAGGCTCCGAGTGCCTCCCTGGGGGTGCCTCACGTCTGGCCGACCCCCTTCCTGGAGCACACCCGCTAGCCTGGGGTAATGCCACCACCACCCAGGGTCTGGACTGGTCCTGGCCCTGTGCCCCCTGGGGAACACAGGCCTGGTAGTCCTTGAGGGTACTCTACCTACTCCAAGAACTTGGGGTGCTTCCCTCAGTCTGAAGCACAAATAATGGTCTCCCTCAGTCAGCTGAACCAAGGGGACCCCAAGGCATAGATCTACTCCCACGCCTGGTGCTTCCCTCCGTGGCAGTGGTGGGCCCCCACCTACAGGCACCCAGCTCAGGCAGTCCCGGGGGATAATGCAGCCGCAGAAGGAAACACAAGGGCACCACACAGCTCAGGCAGGCAGGCTCCGGAGGGGGAAAAGAAAAAATCGGGTTTGCCCAGTTTTTTTCCCCTCTTCTGTGGAGCCTGCCTTCTCGGGCTGCTGCTGGGCTGCCTGCACAGCCCCTGAGCCACACAGAGCCCAGTGCTTCCCTCCATAGCTGTAAGGTAGGAAACTAAAACTGCTTGGACGTGTTTTACTTTGCAGTGCCCCGAAGTCATACGCTGTGTCCCAAAGTCATTTAAGGTGCATTACACCGCCAAATGTGCTACAGCGGCTGGAATTAACACACAATACGCTGCCGAACGTGCAAGCAGCAATGCCACTAAAGCAGTGCAAAAGACATTTAACTTGCTTTAAATCTGCTTTAAAGTGTCATCCAGAAATGCCCCAGTAGATTATTTTAATCAGCATTAAAGCATCACGTAAAAAACTATGACATTACGTTAATGCTCAGTAAAATAGTCTACTGCATATTAAGTGTCACATAAAAACAGTTCAAATGAGCTACTGCACATTAGGTAAGTCTAATGTGCATTAATTTAGTACCCCATATTGGAAGGTATTTATACACATGCATGTGTTGTGGCGCATACATTTGTATACATGGGAAAATGCATGTCATCGCTGAGAAAATGGTGGTGGTGTGCTTTTGAACTAAAACACATCAAAGGTGTTTTCGTTCTAAGGTGCACCACTGCCATTTTCTGTGCGCTGATGCGCATTTCACTTTTTATACAAATGTATGTGATGCAGCTGGATGTGCGCTGATGTGCTGGATTTTTGGTGTGTCAGAGCAGACAAAGGTACATGTATAAATGCCTGCAGGTACTAAATTCAAGGTGCATTAATGCACATGTAGACATGCCTACAGAAATTCAAGGGACTGCACTGATGATGCAGTGATTTGGACTCTGTTTCAGGCAAGTTGGTTTGAACTTGAAGCTTTCATCACTAACTCGTATCATCTGGTAGTTAGCTACTTTACAGCCCACTTATGCTTGGGGCTGATTCATATCTCCTTATCAAATCCAAATAGCAATATTATTAAAGGGATAAGAATCCATTACTTGAAAATCATTTTGAATACATGATAGGCTGGAACAAACTAAAATGTCTCACCCCAGAAGATTTGTGGTGTTTCTGTCAAAGGAACACGTATCCACTAAGATAAGAACTGAGACAGACTATACATTTCAGTTACTCCTTTCCATTCATTTATGAAATCCTTTTATAATAATTCTTATTTTTTTTCATAGACTAACAGGATAATTCAAGTCTAATTAATGGAGCAGTGGAAGGGATTTAATGTTTAAGATAGATGAACATTTGAAAGTATTTGAATACAACAAACAGTTTTCTGTACTGTTACTGAATAGCTTGTGCAGAAGAACAGAAGCAGAATTAAAGATAACAGAGTTAAAGATAGCTACCAGAGAGCCTGAAGTCTTGTGAGCCAGAATGGTCTGACAGAATCTACTTGTGAGTCTTCACCAAAGTGGTGAACAGGCCATCCTCTTTGAGGAGCAAGTTTGAGGCAGTATCACACTCAGCTAGAACACCATCAGAAAAGACTAGCACAATGCTTGCATCCAAGATCTGAGACACTCGGTGCTGAAAAGAAGAGAAGAAAAACAGGCAGGTAGGTGGGAGAAAGAAGGAGCAGCCAAAAAGAAAGTGAAGGCAACTAAATAAAATGCTTTGTGAAGAACAAGGAAGCCAGATAGGAACAAGTGCCATATTTCCTGTATAAACCAATATGGAAAACAGAAGGTCAGTGATACTGATAAGTAATATTTTAGTGGGAGAGATAGCACCAATCATGCAAGAATCTGAAGGACAGTTTTATGAATGGAAATCCTTGTTAATAATATTTTATGCATTTATGCATCCAAGAATCTTAACCACAAAAATGAGCTAGCTTAAGTGATCAGACCAAGGTAACACAGCAGGTCACTAACAGCTGGGAACAGAGCCCAGCAGTTGTGACTCCAATCTTACTTTCTAAACTCAAAATAAAACTTCAGACAAAACAAGTAAAACAGCTGTTGAAGCTTACATTTATTTCAGGCATGAAACAGCTGTCTGCTAAGTAAGGATGTCATCATACTCTTAAAATGCATTAAAGGCATCTTACAAATGGACAGAACTTCTAGCCTATATAGAGAGCTGGTTGAAAAACAGGAAGCAACCCATAAAAGTTTAGTTTAGCATTCCTGGGTTTTTTTTTTTTTAGTGAAATTTGAAAAACGTCCATTTATACATCTTTATAGTAACAAAGAAAAGCTGCTAAATTCATAAATCACATTATAAACAACAGTTGCAGAAAATGTACAAAGGCATAAGTAACAAAATCCAGATTTTGAACCAAGGTTCAGTAGTGGTAGTTGGATCCAGTACTTCAATTGGGTTTAGTAGAGAGATTTAGCTCAATGGTAACATTTGTAATCAGATACCAATTTGTATGTTGATAAGACCTCCACTGGAAAGTTCAGAGTATAACTAGATGTCACCAAATGCAGTGGATCAGTAGTGCCAGGATGTGTCCACTAATCTGCTTCATTGGGTGAAACACGCATCACCCACTGTCACTGTCTTGTCCATTGATCCTGCAGGACAATGGGCAATGTGTTCCCCACTTGCAGAGATGCACCCTGGGAAATCCCCAGGGAAAGCTAGCTCTGGTGTGGTCCTGGGGCTGAGACTGCAAATCAGCTGGCTGGTGGTCCCAGCCCTGGGACTTTCCCACAGTGTTGTTGCATACCTAGGGAATCCTAAACAGCAAACCTGAACTGGTACTTCCAGGGCTTCAGGGGTCTGATCCTGCAAGCCCCAGGAACGGGAAGTCCCAGCATACAGGATTGGGCCCTAAAGCCCCAGGAGTCCCTGCCCAGGGTGGCATGGGCTTCTCTGGGCTGCCCAGGCTCCCCTGCCTTAAAGCTAATGGATCTCAACCAGAAAAAAGCATCATAAATTCATACCACCTAAGTAAGAAGGGTCATAGACATCTGCTTACCTAGCTTTTGTGCCACCATAAAAAATGTTATGGTGGTACAAAGGCAACATTTGTTAACACTGTCAGGTTGTTCAGATCCAAAATCTTCAGACCCAAATCTTTCTTGGCTTTTTCCATTTTATACAGATGAACATTACTGTATTTACTCAAATCTAAGCTAACCCTGAATATAAGATGACCCCCCCCCCAAAAAAAAAATTAGATTCCATATGTGGAAAATTTATAAATTTGTTATAGTTTTCCAGCTATAGTATCTAATTATTTGAGGTCTGCCTTGAATTTGTCCTCCTCCCATTGCTACAGCAGGGAAAACAAATCTAGGGGGTTAAATAGCCTCACTCCCTCCTCCTCTTTATGATCAGACACTGCTCTTTTTGAGCACATGGAAGTAAGGGGCAAATGTGAAAACACTGCTCTTGAAATAAACATGATTTACCATTTAAGCAAATTACTACAGGTAGCTCTACCTTTTATGAAACTGCTGCAAGTTTTAGCAAAAGTACTCCATAAATACACTTATAAACAGCACTTTTGTACTTCTTTATATACATATTACAAACTTAAAAAAAAAGTTTCAAGGTCCAATTTTGTTCTGAATTCTGTTCAGCAAAGCCCAATGGTCACATTCTGAATTTTGGTTGAGAAGAGGTCAGTTGTTCAAGTCTATGTGGCTCTACCACCAGGCAAGTATCCTCCCTCCCAGATTCATCTGTCTGGGGCTTTAAATATTCCCCAAATCCACAGCAGGTATCCTATGTACAAGCCCCAAGCCTGGAGTCCTTAGGGGTTGGATGCCCCTTACTCTCGCTTGCTCCTACCTAAAAGGCCAAGGAGCAATCCACAGGGAAAGTGAGAATACAGTCCTCGTCTACCAGAAAATTGTGCAGTCAAGTTTCCTACATTTGGGGAAGCTACCCCTACCTGGAGTGCAAGGGGCAGACCTCACCCTATAACTACACTTGATCAGTTGGGAGGATCATAGGATCTCTGTCGCCAAGTAAATATGTGGTATAACTATGTATACAACTACATATACAACTAAGTATATAGTACAACAACTATATATCATTGAACCATATTAGTCC